CATTTTTATTTCGAGATTCCCGGGTTAAGAGTTTGGCGGTATTCCCGATCAATTATCTCGCAAATTTAATTTTTCGAAAATTTTTCTAAAATCTTTTTGAGTGTAGCTCAGCATCCGCTGGACCAATTAAAAAGTGCGCCATAGATTTCTTGTTTGAGACTCCCGGGTTAAGACTTTGGCGGTAATCCCGATCAATTATCTCGCAAATTTAATTTTTCGAAATTTTTTAAAAAATTTATCTGAGTGTAGCTCAGCATCCGCTGGACCAATAAAAAAGTGCGCCATACATTTTTTGTTCAGAAATTTCGGGTTAAGACTTTGGCGGTAATCCCGATCAATTATCTCGCAAATTTAATTTTTCGAAATTTTTTAAAAAATTTATCTGAGTGTAGCTCAGCATCCGCTGGACCAATCAAAAAGTGCGCAATACATTTTTTGTTCGAGACTCCCGGGTTAAGACTTTGGCGGTATTCCCGATCAATTATCTCGCAAATTTAATTTTTCGAAATTTTTTAAAAAATTTATCTGAGTGTAGCTCAGCATCCGCTGGACCAATCAAAAAGTGCGCCATACATTTTTTGTTCGAGACTCCCGGGTTAAGACTTTGGCGGTATTCCCGATCAATTATCTCGCAAATTTAATTTTTCGAAATTTTTTAAAAAATTTATCTGAGTGTAGCTCAGCATCCGCTGGACCAATCAAAAAGTGCGCCATACATTTTTTGTTCTAGACTCCCGGGTTAAGAGTTTGGCGGTATTCCCGATCAATTATCTCGCAAATTTAATTTTTCGAAATTTTTTAAAAAATTTATCTGAGTGTAGCTCAGCATCCGCTGGACCAATCAAAAAGTGCGCCATACATTTTTTGTTCGAGACTCCCGGGTTAAGACTTTGGCGGTATTCCCGATCAATTATCTCGCAAATTTAATTTTTCGAAATTTTTTAAAAAATTTATCTGAGTGTAGCTCAGCTTCCGCTGGACCAATCAAAAAGTGCGCCATACATTTTTATTTCGAGATTCCCGGGTTAAGAGTTTGGCGGTATTCCCGATCAATTATCTCGCAAATTTAATTTTTCGAAAATTTTTCTAAAATCTTTTTGAGTGTAGCTCAGCATCCGCTGGACCAATTAAAAAGTGCGCCATAGATTTCTTGTTTGAGACTCCCGGGTTAAGACTTTGGCGGTAATCCCGATCAATTATCTCGCAAATTTAATTTTTCGAAATTTTTTAAAAAATTTATCTGAGTGTAGCTCAGCATCCGCTGGACCAATCAAAAAGTGCGCCATACATTTTTTGTTCAGAAATTTCGGGTTAAGACTTTGGCGGTAATCCCGATCATTTATCTCGCAAATTTAATTTTTCGAAAATTTTTAAAAAATTTATCTGAGTGTAGCTCAGCATCCGCTGGACCAATCAAAAAGTGCGCCATAGATTTTTTGTTTGAGACTCCCGGGTTAAGACTTTGGCGGTAATCCCGATCAATTATCTCGCAAATTTAATTTTTCGAAATTTTTTAAAAAATTTATCTGAGTGTAGCTCAGCTTCCGCTGGACCAATCAAAAAGTGCGCCATACATTTTTATTTCGAGATTCCCGGGTTAAGAGTTTGGCGGTATTCCCGATCAATTATCTCGCAAATTTAATTTTTCGAAAATTTTTCTAAAATCTTTTTGAGTGTAGCTCAGCATCCGCTGGACCAATTAAAAAGTGCGCCATAGATTTCTTGTTTGAGACTCCCGGGTTAAGACTTTGGCGGTAATCCCGATCAATTATCTCGCAAATTTAATTTTTCGAAATTTTTTAAAAAATTTATCTGAGTGTAGCTCAGCATCCGCTGGACAAATAAAAAAGTGCGCCATACATTTTTTGTTCAGAAATTTCGGGTTAAGACTTTGGCGGTAATCCCGATCAATTATCTCGCAAATTTAATTTTTCGAAATTTTTTAAAAAATTTATCTGAGTGTAGCTCAGCATCCGCTGGACCAATCAAAAATTGCGCAATACATTTTTTGTTCGAGACTCCCGGGTTAAGACTTTGGATGTATTCCCGATCAATTATCTCGCAAATTTAATTTTTCGAAATTTTTTAAAAAATTTATCTGAGTGTAGCTCAGCATCCGCTGGTCCAATCAAAAAGTGCGCCATACATTTTTTGTTCGAGACTCCCGGGTTAAGACTTTGGCGGTATTCCCGATCAATTATCTCGCAAATTTAATTTTTCGAAATTTTTTAAAAAATTTATCTGAGTGTAGCTCAGCATCCGCTGGACCAATCAAAAAGTGCGCCATACATTTTTATTTCGTGATTCCCGGGTTAAGAGTTTGGCGGTATTCCCGGTCAATTATCTCGCAAATTTAATTTTTCGAAAATTTTTAAAAAATTTATCTGAGTGTAGCTCAGCATCCGCTGGACCAATCAAAAAGTGCGCCATAGATTTTTTGTTTGAGACTCCCGGGTTAAGACTTTGGCGGTAATCCCGATCAATTATCTCGCAAATTTAATTTTTCGAAATTTTTTAAAAAATTTATCTGAGTGTAGCTCAGCATCCGCTGGACCAATCAAAAAGTGCGCCATACATTTTTTGTTCAGAAATTTCGGGTTAAGACTTTGGCGGTAATCCCGATCATTTATCTCGCAAATTTAATTTTTCGAAATTTTTTAAAAAATTTATCTGAGTGTAGCTCAGCATCCGCTGGACCAATCAAAAAGTGCGCAATACATTTTTTGTTCGAGACTCCCGGGTTAAGACTTTGGCGGTATTCCCGATCAATTATCTCGCAAATTTAATTTTTCGAAAATTTTTCCAAAATCTTTTTGAGTGTAGCTCAGCATCCGCTGGACCATTCAAAAAGTGTGCCATACATTTTTTGTTCAGAACTTTCTTCTAATGACTTTGTTAGAATTTCGGAGCGATTATCTCTCAAATTTAATTTTTCGAAAATTTTTCCAAAATCTTTTTGAGTGTAGCTCAGCATCCGCTGGACCAATCAAAAAGTGCGCCATAGATTTTTTGTTTGAGACTCCCGGGTTAAGACTTTGGCGGTAATCCTGATCAATTATCTCGCAAATTTAATTTTTCGAAATTTTTTCCAAAATCTTTTTGAGTGTAGCTCAGCATCCGCTGGACCAATCAAAAAGTGTGCCATACATTTTTTGTTCAGAACTTTCTTCTAATGACTTTGTTGGAATTCCGGAGCGATTATCTCTCAAATTTAATTTTTCGAAAATTTTTCCAAAATCTTTTTGAGTGTAGCTCAGCATCCGCTGGACCAATCAAAAAGTGCGCCATACATTTTTTGTTCGAGACTCCCGGGTTAAGAGTTTGGCGGTATTCCCGATCAATTATCTCGCAAATTTAATTTTTCGAAATTTTTTAAAAAATTTATCTGAGTGTAGCTCAGCATCCGCTGGACCAATCAAAAAGTGCGCCATACATTTTTTGTTCGAGACTCCCGGGTTAAGACTTTGGCGGTATTCCCGATCAATTATCTCGCAAATTTAATTTTTCGAAATTTTTTAAAAAATTTATCTGAGTGTAGCTCAGCATCCGCTGGACCAATCAAAAAGTGCGCCATACATTTTTTGTTCGAGACTCCCGGGTTAAGACTTTGGCGGTATTCCCGATCAATTATCTCGCAAATTTAATTTTTCGAAATTTTTTAAAAAATTTATCTGAGTGTAGCTCAGCATCCGCTGGACCAATTAAAAAGTGCGCCATAGATTTCTTGTTTGAGACTCCCGGGTTAAGACTTTGGCGGTAATCCCGATCAATTATCTCGCAAATTTAATTTTTCGAAATTTTTTAAAAAATTTATCTGAGTGTAGCTCAGCATCCGCTGGACCAATAAAAAAGTGCGCCATACATTTTTTGTTCAGAAATTTCGGGTTAAGACTTTGGCGGTAATCCCGATCAATTATCTCGCAAATTTAATTTTTCGAAATTTTTTAAAAAATTTATCTGAGTGTAGCTCAGCATCCGCTGGACCAATCAAAAAGTGCGCAATACATTTTTTGTTCCAGACTCCCGGGTTAAGACTTTGGCGGTATTCCTGATCAATTATCTCGCAAATTTAATTTTTCGAAATTTTTTAAAAAATTTATCTGAGTGTAGCTCAGCATCCGCTGGTCCAATCAAAAAGTGCGCCATACATTTTTTGTTCGAGACTCCCGGGTTAAGACTTTGGCGGTATTCCCGATCAATTATCTCGCAAATTTAATTTTTCGAAATTTTTTAAAAAATTTATCTGAGTGTAGCTCAGCATCCGCTGGACCAATCAAAAAGTGCGCCATACATTTTTTGTTCGAGACTCCCGGGTTAAGACTTTGGCGGTATTCCCGATCAATTATCTCGCAAATTTAATTTTTCGAAATTTTTTAAAAAATTTATCTGAGTGTAGCTCAGCATCCGCTGGACCAATCAAAAAGTGCGCAATACATTTTTTGTTCGAGACTCCCGGGTTAAGACTTTGGCGGTATTCCCGATCAATTATCTCGCAAATTTAATTTTTCGAAAATTTTTCCAAAATCTTTTTGAGTGTAGCTCAGCATCCGCTGGACCATTCAAAAAGTGTGCCATACATTTTTTGTTCAGAACTTTCTTCTAATGACTTTGTTGGTATTCCGGAGCGATTATCTCGCAAATTTAATTTTTCGAAAATTTTTCAAAATTTTGTTGAGTGTTACTCAGCATCCGCTTGATTAATCAAAAATTACGTTATACATTTTTTGTTCGTGACTTTCGTGTTTAGACTTTGGTATTGGTCGTGGAGCGATTAAATTGAAATTTTAAAAAATCACAAAGTTTGTGTCTCAAGCTTCCTCAGCCTCCGTTCTCTATTTTCTGAATTTTTTTTCTTCTTTTTGCACTAGGTTTTGTTTGCTGCTTTCCTTCTAACTTCGATTATTTTTTTATTATAATTGTATTCTACTAAATTTTTTTTCCCTTAAAAATACATAAAATAATATGTTGTTTCATCCATAAAAACGAAGAAATTATTTTCAGCATCCAGATGATTTTATTTGGTATGTACCTGTTGGTGACACTTTAATGCTGCCAATTGTCACCTGGGTGACAAATATTATATTTGCCTGTGGGTTATTTTACGTTTTGTGGACACTGTACAAGGTGAATGTACTGGACGTGAGAGAAAAGACTAAAACGAATTAATTTTTTTTTATTACATTTATTTTTTATGTATAGAAGAATTCTTAATATTTGCTAATACTAACATTTATATCAAGTGAAGTGATTATCTTCGTGGTCTTACGATAGGAAAAATATGTACAAGATAAAAAAAAATTGTCGACAGATATATCGGTACTTAGAAATAAATAAATATAATACATATATACTTCTGATCATTCTGATATCTCGCTCACAGTATTGTCATTAGTTTCATGATTTTACAAAATGTTGGAATAATAAATGGAAATATATTCTCATTTTGAAAAATTTTGATTGCAAATATATGTGTATAAATAATATTCGATTTTGTAGGTAACAAAAAAAATTTTAATTTAAAAAATTCAACTGTAAATTTGAAAATTTTAAATCAATAAAATGTGTATTTTTTCATTACAAAAGGAAATTATTTATGTCAGTTAGAAAAAATCTTTTGCTCCTTAAAAAAATAAATTTTAATCAATAATAACTTTTTTGTTTTTACTCAGAAATTATTTTTATATAAAATTCTTTTTTTTTTAATTATAAAACTTAATTTATAACTATACAAACGCGTCACCTTGTTCTTTTGTCATTTTTGTGCTAATGACAAAAATAGTTGTTTTTTTTTATAATCTCTTGTTAAAAGGTTTGCAAATACGCAAAGCAATTGCAAATATAGATTTTTTTTAGGGGCGGAGGGGGGAAAATATACAAGAAAATTAACAAAAAAAAAAGAAAATATCATCGAATTCCTTCTCGTTTGGCATTTTTTTCTTTCTCCAATTTGTCCGCCAATTCAATGCAAGATGGCGCCTCGGGAATCCCATAAATTCTACTGTCTTTACGACTAGTCACATTGGGATCATTCCATTTTTGTACTTTTGTCGATCCAAAAAGAAGAAAAGCCGCAGCTCCCAATATATAAATTCCTGCCGTTAATGAGAAAACACTGCGCCATTGGCTAACGTTTTCCTATTAAAAAAAAAGTAACAATATGAAATAAATAAAAAATTAAATAGATAAATTAAAAAATAGCAATCAATGAATTAGATAATTATTTTTAAAAAAAATTGGCAACTGTTACTATAGTAATTGATATCTTAGCAACGGTTTTCATAGTAACGGTATTGCTAGGGTATCAATTACCGTAGCAACGGTTTTCATGGTAACCGATATCCAAGTAACTGTTACCATAGTAACTGTAGCCATAGTAACTGTAGCCATAGTAACTGTTACCATAGTAACTGCAGCCATAGTAACTGTTGCCATAGTAACTGTTGCTATGGTAACTGACACCCTAGCAACCGTTGCCATAGAAACCGTAACCTTAGCAACTGTTGCTAACCATTCCCATATAGCAACAGTCTGAACCACAATAAAAAATAACAAACTTCAGTTACAAAAATTTTGAGCCATAGACCAAAAAAATAGAAGGTATTAAGGAGAAAAAAAAATTGTCAAAAAAAAGAAGTAAATTCATTACCTTCTCTTTGACAATCCAACCGGCAACAAGTGGTGCAAGAATACTGCAAACATTAGCAACAGCATTTGTACAACCCATCAATGAACCAGCAAAATTAGGACTTAAATCCATATGATTGAGATGATGTCCACAATAAATTGACATATTTGTTGCAACAGCAATAACAAGAATACTTATTGCAAGAATAGGATTGTCAGGATTAACATAACCTAATGCAACAAGTGCAATTGCTGGTAAAATTTCACCCACTGAATTACACAAAAATCTTGATGCCCTAACACTTAAGAAATTTCTTCTTATTGCCATATCAGAAAAGAAACTAATTGGAAAACTAAGTATCCATGCGGTGAGATATGGAATTGACGATATAAGTCCATTCTGAAAGTAAACAAAAATTTTAATAAATTATTTAAAGAACCATAGTAACAGTAACAGTTGCTAAGGTAACGTTTTTTCTTGCTATGCTTTTTTTTGCTTACTATGGCAATGGTTGCTATAGTAAGCGCTACCTTAGCAACCGTTGCTACGGTAACTGCTACCCTAGCAACGGTTGCTATAGTGACCGCTACCTTAGCAACCGTTGCTATGGTAACGGCTAATCTAGCAACAGTTTTCATGGTAACTGCAACCGTTGCCATAGTAACTGGTACCCAAGCAACGGTTGCCATGGTAACCGCTACCTCAACAACCATTGTCATGGTAGCTAGGGTAGCATGGCAACGGTTACCATAGCAACTGTGGCGCTATTTTTAAATATTATTATTATTATTATTGATTTTTTATTAGGGTATTATTATTTAGAAATAAAATATTAAAACTATTATTCTCTATTAAAATACAATTTAATTATCTAGAAATTAAAATTATTATTTATATTTTTAACTTTTAAAGATTTTAGTTATAATAAATAATAATAAAAAAAATTGTAATAATTTCTAATTTTAATATATTATAATTATTTGTGAAATTTTAATATTGTAATTTTCATTTTTTTTTCTAATCACAGTTATTTCTTTAAAGTTTGATATATTAATAAACATCAATGATGATATTGGAAATTTAATAAAAAAAAAGCAATTATGATGTTAAGATAAGAAATTAGAATAAAAAAATCCTATGAATCGGTGACCGATTAATAAATTTTCAAACTGTCATCATTGATGATTGTGCACTTCCTTTTGTTTTCACATTCCATTTATATCCTCATTCCAACAAAAAAAAAATAAGTTTCTTTCTATATTCTATAATTTTACGCATTTTTTTCATTTTATAATTTTTATTATCATTTTAAAAAAATTAGAAAATCTTTTTTTTTTTATTATATTATTTTATTTTTTAAGGTAGGAAAAAAATTTATTCTATTTTCTATTTTTATAATTGATTATAATTTAAATTTTATTTATTTTCCTTTTTGTCGAAAAAAAAGAATGTTTAAAGTAAACTTATGTTTTTTCTGATAAGATAAACAAATTAAATTAAAAAGAAAAATAATAGTGAAGACCCTAATATTAAAGATATGAACTATCAATGAAGACACCTAAATTGATAATAATAATAGTTGAGATAATGATAATAATAATAATAATAATATTTATTTGATAATTCAGATAAACGGATTAAATTTTTTTTTTAATTTAATTTTTAAAAATTGTAAGTATATGAAAATAATTTTTTAAGCAGGAAAGGTTTTTTTTTTAGTTAAACTTTATTGAAAATTCAAAATTTCCCGCTAAAACAGTAATTCCAGAAACTACCGCCAAGCGGCGCATCTATTAATTTTTTTTATAGTTCATGCTTCTTTTCATTTTACTATTATAGTTTTGGTTTTGTCAAGAGGGTTAGAAAAAAAATCTTTTTAGTCCGATAACTTCATTAAACAAAAAAAACTCTCTATAGTTTCAAAAAAAGGAATTTTTCTCTCACAAAAAGGAAATGAGAATAATTTTTCAAAAAAAGGGAAAAGTATTTTCTTAGTCCATTAACATCATTTAAATTTCTTTTAGAATTATTTTCTCAGTACATTAGTAAAAAAAAAAAAAGTAATTTAGAATTGAAACAGAGAAATTTTTTTACTTACTATATTTATTTATAAATAAATAAATATTTTTAAACTTCTCGCTAAAAATTTTTTTTAAATATTAACCTAAAAAATTATTTTTAATCATGACCCGCGCAATAAAAATAATAGTAATGATAATAATAACAATAATAATAATAATGAAAAAGTAATAATTATTAAAAAAATTGTTTGCATGGTATATTATTAAATAATTAAAAAATAATCAATAATAAATTTTACGATATAAATATCTTTAATATTCGAAAAAAGTGTTCTGAATTCTAGCAATTAAATTAATATTCATTATATATAGCTCGGACAAATATCATTCAAGGCAAGGCTCTACGCGACTCGAATCTACCTTAAAAATTCAATCATTCGTAATTCTCAATGGACAGTCAAGGATCAATTTTTTTTTTTTTTTGTCAAGGCTCAGACGCAGATTTAACATGAAAATTTTCCCTTTTTCGAAAGAAAATTATTTTTCCTTAATCGAATAAAATGACTTTGCTTTCCTTTTTTCCTTCAATTTTTTCTTATATACGAATTTATTACCCGTCCCCCGTTTAGAAGAAAATTTATTTTTAAGTTAATTTTTTATAATTTTTAATCAAAATTTTTTTAATTAATAAAAATACCAAAAAAAGAAAATTTAATTTTAGAAAAAAAAGAGATGTGTGTAAAATTTATTAAAATTAAAAATTGTATTTTTTTTTACTCACGTCTTTAATATTAAATTTGAAAACAGAACTCAAGTAATTTGGAATTTTCGTTAAAAGCATCCAAAAACCCCAAACTTGACACGATTGTGTAATAACAATCGCCCAAACTGGTCCCGAAAATAAAATCCTTTTCCATGGTGTTGGTATTGGCTAAAAATAATAAATTATCAATATTTTAATTAAAAAATAAATAATGCAAAAATTAATAAATTATAAATAAAATATTGACGATTTTAATAAAAAATATATTTTTAAATATAAATGTAAATTATTTTTGTTATATAAATATAATTTTTTTTTTTAAATAAATACATTTTTTATATTTTTATTATAATGTATTCATAATTATATTTATATAAAAAAAAATGTCAAGAAACAAACACACGTTTTTTTTATATACAACAATAAATTAATAGTTATATGTATATACAATTGAATTCGAATCATTGCAGGTTTTTTTTTTTTATTTTTTTATCTGATTTACACGAAGGCCAAGAAATCTCGATAACAATTAGATATAAAAATACTTCATTAACGCTAATCATTAACATTGTAATTGGATCTCTGACGTGATGAAATTTGCGAAAAAAAAATAGAAAGAGAGAAAATAAAAAGTGGGAAATAAATATAGAAAATTAAAATTTTATCATTAAAAAAAAAAATTATTTTGCAAATTTTAAATTATTTTATATTTTTGAATTATTAAATTCTAATTAAATGCTAATTAGTGATTAGAAGGGAAATGATAAGAAAAGCGGAACCAAGAAACAAAATTAATTATACATTATTTTTTTGCGATAATAATTATATATAATCCAGGAAAAGCAAAATTGATAAGAATTCAATAAAAGTGCTTAAAATACTACTAAAATTTCTATTTTTGTCTATCTTTTAATATTTCATATTATCTATTGATAGACAATAAAAAAAAAAATTTATTTTAATTTATTTTTAATCTAAATAATAATTATTATTATTCTATAAATTTAATTAATCAATAAATTATTATTTCTTTTAAAAAAATAAATAAATAAATAAATTTACCTCAGTAGTCTCAATGACACCAAGACTGACTTCAATGTATTCTTTTTCATCGAGTGGTATTGCCGGATGCTCAGCTGGCGAATCCCTACCGAGACAGAGCCATATAATTGACCAAATCAATGTGATAATTCCCCAAAAGTAAAAAACACTTGGCCATCCCATCAATGAATATGCAAGGACACCAGAACTTTGTAGGGCAAACACGTTTCCAAACCATCCACCCGCATAAACAAACGTCGCTGCGATGAATCAGAAATAGTGAAAATAATTCAAATAAATTACGTGATACTTGTCACGAAAAAACAATTCATATTTTATTCACTAAACATTCAATTATTATCATTGAAAATTTATTTTTTATTATAAAATATATTTTGTAATTAAAATTAAAAAAAAAAAAGATGCACTGTTACCTCGATAATAGATTATACAGTGGTACCTCGATAAAGTTTTACGGTAAGACCTCGATAATAATGCCACAATAATAGGTTATACAGCATTACCTCGATAATTATATTTACAGTATTACCTCGATAATAGACTATACAGTACTACCTCGATAATAATCTACATTATTACATTGATAACAGTAATACCACAATAGTAGGTTTTACACTATTACCTCGATAATATACTCTACAGTACTACCTCGATAGTATACTATACAGTATTACCTCGATAGTATACTATACAGTACTACCTCGATAATAATCTACAGTATTACATTGATAACAGTAATACCACAATAGTAGGTTTTACACTATTACCTCGATAATATACTGTACAGTACTACCTCGATTATTACATACAGTATCACCTCGATAGTATACTATACAGTATTACCTCGATAGTATACTATACAGTACTACCTCGATAATAATCTACAGTATTACATTGATAACAGTGATACCACAATAGTAGGTTTTACACTATTACCTCGATAATATACTGTACAGTACTACCTCGATTATTACATACAGTATCACCTCGATAGTATACTATACAGTACTACCTCGATAATAATCTCCAGTATTACATTGATAACAGTAATACCACAATAGTAGGTTTTACACTATTACCTCGATAATATACTCTACAGTACTACCTCGATTATTACATACATTATCACCTCGATAATATACTATACAGTACTACCTCGATTATTATTTACACTAATACCTCGATAATAGATTATTATATTTATTGAAATACAATATATTTTACCGTATTATCAAGGTACAACTGTATTACAAAAAAAAATTCGAAAAAATTAAATTAAATTTTTTTTTTTAGATTAAAAATATATAAATAAATATTTAAAAAAAAATAGTTCTCTTACTCAGTGTTCCCCGTTCTGGAAATGGTACCCATTTGGCGCAAAGATTATGAAGAATTGGTGGCACCACACCCTGACAAAAACCAGATATAACACGACATGCACAAACAGCTTCCCAACTGCCGTGATAAGCGGCAACTGGTACCAATAATGTAACTAGTGCACAAATTCCCATGCAAATTCCATAAATTCTCTGTGCACCCCATCGTTGTGCAATTAATCCACCCGGAATTTGTGTCCAAATATAACCCCAAAAAAAGGAGCTCAACACCACATTTTTGTCGTCTTCACTCCAATCGAACGTCTATTTTAAAAAAAAAGAAGAAAAAAATAGTAATTAATAGCTAAATTAAAAATTAATTAATTAGCGTCCCCATGAAAACGGTTGCTAAGGTAACAGTTACCATGGCAACCGTTACTATCGTTATCGTTACTATCGTTATCGTTACTATCGTTATCGTTACTATCGTTATCGTTACTATCGTTATCGTTACTATCGTTATCGTTACTATCGTTATCGTTACTATCGTTATCGTTACTATCGTTATCGTTACTATCGTTATCGTTACTATCGTTATCGTTACTATCGTTATCGTTACTATCGTTATCGTTACTATCGTTATCGTTACTATCGTTATCGTTACTATCGTTATCGTTACTATCGTTATCGTTACTATCGTTATCGTTACTATCGTTATCGTTACTATCGTTATCGTTACTATCGTTATCGTTACTATCGTTATCGTTACTATCGTTATCGTTACTATCGTTATCGTTACTATCGTTATCGTTACTATCGTTATCGTTACTATCGTTATCGTTACCATAACAGCAATTGCGCAATTAAAATTTTAATTAAATTCGAAAAAAAATTGATTTACTACCAAAAAAAATAAATAATTTTCCATTAAAAAAAAATTAACTGAAATATAAAACAAAATTTTGAATTCTTTTTTTTTTATTTATAAATTAAAAAATGAAGTATAAAAACTTGCAACTAAAAAACATTTTTGAAAAATAAAATAGAACTCGCATAAAATTAATTATTAATACCTCAAAGTCTGGATTTGATTTCTTGTCTGTCATTGCTTCAATGGCAACAGACATTGAGACCCTTATCACATAACAACAAAAGTATCCTCCAGTCATTAAGAGGACCTGAATGTGTCGACAACCAAACAGTGCTGAGAACACAAAATTTTTATTAACCATTTTACTATTGTACATAATAAATAAAATGTATTCCGATAAAAAAAAATGTATTTTGCGTTTGAAAAAAAAATTATTAAAAAAATGTTTTATTGTTTAAAAACTGATAATTAAAAATAATTTTCTCCTTATATAATTTCTCCCAATTTTTTTTTCATTTTAAGTAGTAATTTTATCAATTTTTTCTATTTTTAAAAAAAATTAAAAAAAAGTATTTAAAAAATTATGATTTTTACAAAAATAAATCAGTGGAAACAACATTTTTTTTTTAAATTAACTATTTTAATGGAAAAAGAAAAACAAAAAAGATAAGAAATAATAACGTATAATATATTGTTTTGTAAAAATTAATTTTTGAAAAATAAAAATCACTATTTTTAAATGAATTTTAAAAAAGAAAATCCTTATCTGAGTTTAAAAGCAAAATTGAAAATTAAAAAAAAAATTTATATAAAGTTTTTTTTTTAAATTATGTGGAGTATAAAGTGAAAATGAAGGTGTTAAAGAACAATCATTTGTTTTCAGGTGAGAAACAGTGATTGGAATGTCTCACAATCGATAAGATTTCACAAACATTTAAAGACCAGAAGTTTTACAGACAAGCAAACAATTACTTTTTAATCTAACAAATTTCAATTCCACTTTAAATTGACATTGCTTTGATTTTTTTTTCTAATTAATATTTGCAAATTTTTATTTTTCTCTCATTAACATTAATTGTTTTAATAAAAGTTAATTGGAAAATTGTTTCATTAAAAAAAAAATTCTTTATTTAAATTTAATAATTTTAATTTTTTAATTATTCTTAATTTTCTTCTTTAAATAATTAATAATTTTAAAAAATTTTTTTTACAAATATTTATAATTAATTTCATAATTTATTAATAAAAAAATTATATTTAACAAAAATTTTAATTAAATTATTTTTATTTTTATTTAATTATACTAAATCAATTTTTAATTAATTTTAAATTAATTTACTTAATGTAAAAAAATAATTAATAAATATTTGATCTTTTTAACATTTTTCATATGAATTTTTTGAAAAAAAAATTATAAACAAAGTTATTGTCAGTTTTTTTTTATTGACAATAAAAAAAGTAAATAAAAAAAAATTGATAAATTTTTGCAATGTCAAACAAAAACTCTATTAATAAATTAAATAATGTAATCGGTAATAATTTTCGTCATTAAGATTTAATTTTGTTATCTCAGAAAAAAAATTATGAAAATTATTGGAAATTATTATGTCCACACATCAATTTTCGATAAGATTATTTTTTTGTGTTTTAAATAAGATTTTACACAAAATTTCACAAAACTTTTACGTTTATATATATATATATATATATATATATATATATATATATATATATATATATATATATATATATATATATATATATTACAAGTGGCAATATTTTTAATTAAAATTTTACAATTAATCACGTGCAGCGTATCGTTCACTGACGTATTTTTTTATTGATAAAAAAAAATTTCTCACCGAAGTAACAAATCATTGCACGTGCTTTCTTGAATAAAAATTTAATTTTATTAAAATTTTTAAACATTTTTTTTTCTTTTTTCAAATTATCCTAATTAATTTTTATTTATTTATTCATTTATTTAACTTTCATTTAAATATTTATTAAAAAAATTTTAATTAAAAAATTGTTTATAATTTTTTTTATTAAAATACAAATAATAAAAATTATAATTGTAAAATAAAAATTTTAAATAAAAAATTAAAACAATAAAATATCTATAAATATTACAATAAAGAGTAAATAAAAAAAAGGTTTAAAATTTTTTCAACAAAATTTGTAAAAAAAATTAATTTTTCTATAATCGTAACTTGTAAATTAATTTTTGAAATTTTAATTACCATATTTTTTAAGTAAAAAACTATTTACTTTCATTTTTTGTGTTTAATATTTCTAATTTCATTTTAATATTAAATTGAAAAAAAATTTTAAAATAACAATTATGCTAAAAAAAATTTTATCTAAAATTAAAATAAAACTTTTCCAATAAAATACATTTAAAAAAAATTTACCTTTTGGTCTGTGAAGTGGAGTTTTCATTCTTTCCGAAATGGAAATTCGTCGAGACGAAACCCTTCTCGATGTTGTCGTCATTTTGACGAGAAGGATGTTTTTTGTAAAAAAAACAAACTTTTTCTTCTATTCTTTGACAAAAATTAAACAGAAATTAAGTAGATATATATATATATATATATATATATATAATAAGAAGAAAAATGCTTTTCAACGACTGCTAGACATTCAACAAGTGACCACAGTTTTATGTCAAAGACTTCAAATGCGTAGATCCCCTCTCAAATGCCTGGTAAAGCGTGATGACCCTGTAATACTCCAGGCTTACGCATCATCTTACCTGAATAAAATTATTTTCAAAAAAATAAATAAATAGAAAAAATCTAAACAAAAATTAAAATTAAAAAAAATTTAATACAACATAATTAGAGAATGAAATATGAATTTAAAAATAAATTTAATAAGTACGAGATTACGCAAAATGACGGAACTAAAAGACCGACACTAGAAATTACGTACCATAATGTAGTCAAATAAGATTTTCATCCATATTCCTTGCACTTTTTATTTATAACTATAAACATTTAAAAAACAACAATTTAAAGACATCTGTTACCACACTTAAAGCCACTCTGAAGATAAAAAATTCTTAAAAAAATAAAAAATTATTTTAGGCAGACAATTTTATTGCATATTCTTGCACAAAATACACCTAAAAGTGTAGAAAAAAATTGACAGCCAAATACGAGTAGAGGAAGACACCTATTACCACCAAAAAGT